CCTTCCACAGGAAGAAGGTCAAGTCCGGTCTATTTTTATAAGTGTTTTTCAAGTGGTTAGTGGACGTATTTCCTGTGGTTCCCAGGAATTCTGCAGCAGGCTCTCAGGAGGATGTTGGTGATAGGGAACAGGGACTTGATGAGCGAGAATCAATAATTATCTCTATATTTGCTTCACTTTTTTCTACAAAAATAATCTAGGGGAAAAACACTTGCTTTGGAAGAGCAAAGTTCATTACAACAAAGAGCAGAATGGGACATGAGTCCCTTAGTGTGTAGCAGAATCCTTAGGTCAAGATTCTACAAGCTGAAAACATATCTGTACACTTGTTCCCTCCCTCCCTCGTTTACTCAATAAACATTCGAGCAACTTCTCTACGCCAGCCATCACTTGATGGCTGGGCAGAAAGTGTTGAATAAACACGGCTTCTGCCCACCAGCAGCTTACAGTCCAGCGTGGGAAAAAGATGTCAAATAAGGAAACGCATGGATAAATATATAATTAATTACAGATGATGGTGAATGTTGGAAGGAAAAGAACAGGAGTCTGCAAAAGAGAATCATGAGGGTAGAGAAGGAAGTACCTTAGATGGGGAGCCAGGGAAGATCTCTGAGGAGGTGGCACTTTAGCTGCCCTCTGATGGGAAGCAGCCCATGGAAAATTGTTAGGGAAGAGCATTGCTGCAGAGGGACCAATTTGTAGGAAGGCAGCCATGTGGAGGAGACCATAGTGGGCTCAAGGACCCCAGGGCATGTGCAATGGCTGGAATAGAAGGGCAAGGGAGAGGGGAGCAGTAGGTGAGGCCAGACCATACAGGGTCTCATAGGCCATGGTAAGGTTTTGAATTTTACTTTATGGAAATGGAAAATCATGAAAGGTTTTAAGCTAGGGAGTAGCCAATCTGATATAGGCTTTATAAGATCTCTCTGACTCTGTATATAAAAGTGTTGGGGCTGTGCGTTGTGACTCTCATCTGTAATCCCGGCACTTTGGGAGGCTCAGGCGGGCAGATCACAAGGTCAAGAGCTTGAGACCATCCTGGGCAACATGGTGAAACCCTGTCTCTACTAAAATACAAAAAGGAGCTGGACATGGTGGCACACACTTGTAGTCCCAGCTACTCGGGAGGCTGAGGCAGGAAAATTGCTTGAAACTGGGAGGCAGAGGTTGCAGTGAGCCAACATTGCACCACTGCACTCCAGTCTGGCGACAGAAAAAAAGTGATGGGAAGGGGCCAAGAACAAAAGAGGGGGCTATTTCAGAAGGTAAGACAGGAGCTGCTGACGGATGGGACCTACTGTGGGCAGTGGGGTTGGTAATAAGTATGTAAATGTGATGACCCTTCACTGCAGTCCAAGGCTTGATTAGCAGACCTCAGAAACATCAGCCAGATAACACAGCAGGGACTAGGATGAAGGGTGAGAGGCACTTGCTTTGGGTAAAAATGTACTCAGCACTCAAGATAAATCATATTTTAATGCAGTATTTTTCTTTTTTTTTTTGAGACAGAGTCTTGCCCTGTCACCAGGCACCAGGCTAGAGTGCAGTGGTGCGATCTCAACTCACTGCAACCTCCGCCTCCCGGGTTCAAGCAATTCTCCTGCCTCAGTCACCTGAGTAGCTGGGACTACAGGTGCGCGCCACCACACCCAGCTAATTTTTGTTTATTTTTTAGTAGAGAGGGGGTTTTGCCATGTTGGGCCAGGATTGTTTTAATCTCTTGACCTCATGATCCGCCCGCCTCGGCCTCCAAAAGTGCTGGGATTACAGGCGTGAGCCACCACTCCCGGCCTAATGCAGTATTTTTCAAAAATCCAATTTAATGAAAAATATTAAATAATATTAATAAAGACAGGATGAATAACAGGGATAATGTAAGCAAAACAAACTTGAAATGGGCCCCCATGAGGCTTACATTAGTGGGTATGTACACTTGTGTGGAGTGAGACAGATAATAACAAACAAAAAAGTAAATATAATTCTAAACTATCATAAATGCCGTGAAAGAAACACATTTCGGTCTGAGACAGAGAACAAGGAAGTCAGGAGGTCTTCCTATTTGAAATAGACTGGGCCTAATGTAATTGGACTTGGAGGCAAATACTCTGCCTAGAAGTGCTATGTGTGAATGAAAAGTTTTGCAGGACAGCACAGTGGTGCATGCCTATAATCCCAGAACTTTAGGAGGCCAAGGTGGCAGGATCGCTTAAGGCCAGGAGTTCAAAATCAGCCTGGGCAACATAGCAAGACCTTGTCTCTACTGAAAAAAAAATTGTTTTTTTTAATTGGCTGGTCGTGGTGGTATGTGCCTGTAGTCCCAGCTACCCAGGAGGCTGAGCAAGAGGATTGCTTGAGCCCAGGAGTTTGAGGCTACAGTGAGCTGTGTTCGTGCCACTGCACTCAAGCCTGGGCAACAGAGCAAGACCCTGTTACATACAGAAAAATAATTTTTGCAAATGAAATCTATCAAACTTCCTACATAGTATAAGATTTTATAATCTAATAACAGAAGTTTTGAACAGATCTATATAAAAGTTATTCTCACCACTGAGGGTTCAAGAGTACAAAATCATGAAACACTAGGAAATGTTCTGCCTTCTCTCTGCCCCACCCCAGGGGCCTATCTAAATGTCTAGATTTATCAAATTTCATAAGAGCCCATTGAACCTGACAACACCGAGGAGGAGCCAAGGAATGCAGGATCTTGAACGTGAAGAGGAATTATGTGCGGAAAGATGGCAGCTCCGAGAAGCAAGGAGAAGTCACTCTGACGTGCCTCCTTACGTCTTGTTGCCTAATCTGCTTTCAAAGGCCAATAACTTTAAAATTCTCCATTTTTCACACAACCCCACCCAACAAAGTGAGTCTTTAATCTCTGAACATGACAGGGGGCAGTGGATATGAAGGATATAAATGGCTTTGAAAGGTCGGTTAGAAAAAAGAAACGAGGAGAGAAACCTTGAGGAGTTGAAGGGATAAAAGCCAAACATGCTTTGAGCTACCTGCCAAAATTAAAGAAAACTCCCATGAGAGGCCACGTTTGACGGATGAGTCAAACTACTGTCATTGTTATCGGCAACTACCTCTAACCTCATGATTTTTCTGAAAAATGGCATCTTGACTGCAAAGTGCACCTTCCTGAAGGTGCTAGATACCAAGGCAGACTTATCTCTTAGTATAGCTTCTTAGATTCAAGATTTCAACTAATCTCCAAGCCCTTTCCTCCCTTATTAGATACCAGTCATGTCCTGGGGCCTTTGGTGATGTTCTCTTGCTCCATCTCCTTCCCATAAAGGAGGGTTCCTTTTCCTGCCAACAGCTGGGCTGTGAGTGGAGCCAGGTGTAGAATACCAGTGATGTGGTCACAGAACCATGAGAGCCATCAGTGGTGCTGAAACAGGGCAAACAGTGCACATGGGAGAATGGTTCCTTTTGGACTGTTTGTGTGGGATCAAAGGGAGTTGGCAAGTATATGGAACCTCTAAAAATAGAGCACATCCTTAAAAAGAAAGAATGCAAAAAGAAACAAGTTTTACTTTGTCCTAGTGTAGGCTCTGCAAAAACTCAGCCCTGGAAGGCTGGCACTGGGGCAAGTGACTGTCTACTTCCTGCCCTTTGACTACGACACCAACTGGATCTGTTTGCAAATCCTGGGTCCTGCTCCCCTGCCTCCTTCCTGTGTGGTGCTTGGGGCACACTGGGGCCTCCATGGCCCCCTTTCAAGATCCAGAATAGACTCTGACATATGAAACGAGTTCCACGGGGTTTACGTTCCTTCTTCGTATCCAAGCACCTTAATACACAAAGCCGCATGCTGGGATTGCTAACTGTTCTTCCAGAGACGCCTGGATATCGTCTGTCTGGCAGAAATGTGAGTTTCGTCCTTTTTATTTTTTAATGTTTTGAGGGAGCCTGAGACCCTTGGAAATGGGGGTGACGTTATAAACTGATGTTTTGGGACTGAGGGTTTTATTTTCGACTAAGCCCCAGATTTGCTTTGGTAAACGGTCCAGCCTCTCTGCATCACAATTCTCTTGGCTGGAGAAGAAGGGGAGGTGTTCATCTAGCCCATATGATGGAGGAACAGCAAATACAAAACGATTATGAAGTACCTGATACAGGTATGGTGTAGACACCATACCTATCCAGAGAAGCTTGTTTATTCATACCAAATTCTCAGTGAAACCCCAACTGCTATCAATGTTCAGATATCAACCCACTAAACACAGGTTCATATTAACAAGAATAACGATAGCTGGCTTTCCTAGCACTCACCATAGGCAAGGTCCCTCCTAGGCCTTGTCCTGTTCCTTTCTCATGTCACTGTAATGAGATCAGCACTCTTAACAGCTTCATTTTACAGAGAAGATAACTGGGGACCAGAAAGGTTACATGACTTGCCTGGTTTGCAAGAACTTAATGACACAGCAAAAATCCAGGTCTGTGACTCCCAGGTTGTGAGAATTTCCATTTTCATGACATTTCCAACCCAGGCTGAAGTAGTCTCTGGCCTCTCCCCTGCCCTTCATGTGCAATGACAAATGACTGCCCTGACAAGGACCAAGATGGTCTCACAGGCTGCAGGGTCACCTAGAGGAGGCACAGGAGTGACAATCAGGAAAGTACCCCAGTGAAGAGGACAGGCCATCGGGGAGGAACTTGCAACGTTGCATTAAATCAAAACAGGTATCTCCTCTAGAACATGAATGAATGGGCTGTACACATTACAGGGGCTGATAGAGAAAAGAACAGAGAAGCTCAAGGGTCACTCAGTTCAAGGGGCATTTTATTCTCTTATCCACATTTATTTGGCAATGAAAAGAGTAGACTCTGGAGTCAGCAAACTCTACCTTCAGATCTCAGTTCCAACATGTTTTAGCTTGGTGCAAAAGTAATTGTGGTTTTCCCATTATTCTTAATATTTACTGATATGACTTTAGAAAAATGACTTAAACTTTCCGAGCCTCACTGCCCTTAGCTGCCAAATGGGGGAACTCAAGCAATGCCTTGAGTTCGGTCGAGGTCAGCTGCCCTTTTCTGTTCCCTAAACTTTGGAACATTGGGGCATTGAAACAGGCTAGGGAGGTGATTACATAGAGAATATTATTCTATTCATTTCCCTCCTAGCCAAAACAAAAAATGTAATACTTTCCTAACAGAATTTTTTTGAGAACAAATTAACGTAATGTGCTTAGAACCATATCTGGCATAGGGTAAACGTTCAAAAAGAGTCACTGTGTTATTATTTGTAGACACATTTTACTATTTGTGGGTATATCCAGGGTCGGCTATTGAGTAAAAAACAGTAGGGCAGGTCCTCAGCATTTCTAAAGAGAAAACAAACATGTACTTCAAAAGACTGCATCTGGAGAAGCTGAATTGTCTAGGTCAAAGGGAAGGAAAAAAAAATGCAGCAAACAGACCATCTTCCTATAAGCTGGAAGGTTTGCTGATTTCGAGAAAGGAATGTCGTTGCTGGGCTGGTTCTGGAAATTGTAACTTGCACAACAGATTCAAAAGATTTTTGGAGACACATCAGAAAGAGAGGGCTAAAGGAGGTGGCGGAGGGCTGCCAGAGCCCCTGCAGAATCACTTTGCATTTGGCACAAAGCCCTGGGACTTTAATGTGTCCGTCTGCAGGAAGGATATTTCCATTTAAGATGTGTGCAGGTCTTCAGGATGGCCCAGGGCCGGCAGGACAGTTTGGACCATGGTGTACCATTAAAGTTCAGACAGGAGGGGGTCCAGCAGAGCATGCCATTGCACCAGGGAGCACTCTGTTTTTTCTTTTGGAGTGGATGCTGTTTAAGCACTTAAAAGAATTCCTAACCTCCAACTGAATGATGCTCTACGAGGGGGAATGTTTTGTGAGTGAATAAGCCAGACTGCAGAGAAAAAAGATAGGAATCAAGGAAAGAAAGAAAGGATATGGGAGGATATCCGTGGGGATGTATGTGTGCATGTGTGTGTGTGTGTGCATGTGTGTGTGCATGTGCACGTGCATGTGTGCATGTGTGTGCAAGTGTGTGCATGTGCATTTGTGTATGTGTGTGTGTCCATGTGTATATCTGTGTGTGTGCATGTGTGTGTGTGTATGCTTGTACTTCTCTTCATTAAGAAGAAGTATGCGAGCTGGGGCTGGGATTGAGCTGTTTGGTGACACAGCTGGAGCAGATAACAGCCCCCACTTCCTGCTAGTTACACCAGGTCCAAGCATCTATGTCCCTCTCATCTGAAACATGGCTTGATGAGTCTGGTATGGCTAGATTGTAAATGCCTTAAAGGCAGTAACTGATTTCTCCTACCAACCCATAATGCCTTATTTGAAAAGCTTTGGGCTAGATATGTTTCAGAATCCAGAATTTGGGTAATTTAAGAAAGGTAGTATGGTTCATACATTGTATATTATGGAACAACTCCAGTGGAGTCTGGAACAGCACCCTAGAATCAAACACATTAGCAACTGCACCAAATTATGTAAGTATTATTAACACAAAGCAGAATAAATAGACTTTAGGTCTCAGAACAGTTTGGGCCAGGTTTTGCCACAATCTAATAGATTAATAGATAGAAAGAACTTGTAGCTTTCAGAGCTTTTTGAATTTCAGAATTGTGGATTAAGGATCTCAGGTCTGGCTGGGTGCAGTGGCTCACACCTGTAATCCCAGCACTTTGGGATGCCAAGGTGGGCAGATCACCTGACATCAGAAGTTTGAGACCAGCCTGACCAACATGGAGAAACCCTGTTTCTACTAAAAATACAAAATTAGCTGGGTGTCGTGGCCATGCCTGTAATTCCAGCCACTCAGGAGGCTGAGGCAGGAGGATTGCTTGAACCCGGGAGGTGCAGGTTACGGTGATCCACTACCACACATTGCACTCCAGCTTGGGCAACAAGAGTGAAACTTGGTCTCAAGAAAAAGATCTCAGGTCTTTCTTTTTGTTTTTAAATTTCCAGGACATCTGCAGCATTCTGCCCACGGCAGGCACTGGGTAGAAGTTGTTGACATCTAGAGTATGTGACATCTTGATCTCCCTCACATCATATTTGATTCTGGAAACCGGGAGAGTTTATTCTCAGTGACGTGGGGAGTCTTTAGAATTAAAAGTATTCTAAATTAAAGAACAGAAGAGAAAGATTATTAAGCCCGTAGGTTCTCTATCATCTTGAACAGATGAAATATACTGAAAACTCATCACTAGCAAATCATGTTGAGCACCTAAGCAAATGAGAGGAGTGCATCATTGCACATAAGTGACAATGGAACGTTCTAACCTATCACTTAGAACATGGTATTTTTTTTATGTTACTAAAATATTTCTAAATGGGCCAGGCATGATGGCTCATACCTGTAATCCCAGCACTTTGTGAAGCCAAGGCAGGAGGACTGTTTGAGTCCAGAAGTTCAAGACCAGCCTGGGTAACATAGTGAGACCCCCATCTCTACAAAAAAATGTTTTTAAGTTAGCCAGGCAGTCAGGCAGAGTGGCTCACACCTGTAATTCCAGCATTTTGCAGGGCTGAGGCAGGCAGATCACCTGAGTTCAAGACCAGACTGGCCAACAGGGTGAAACCCTGTCTCTAATAAAATTACAAAAAATTAGCCCAGCGTGGTGGTGGGTGCCTGTAGTCCCAGCTACTCAGGAGGCTGAGGCAGGAGAATCGCTTGAACCCAGGAGGTGGAGGTTGCAGTGAGCTGAGACTGTGCCACTGCACTCCAGCCTGGGCAACAAAAGTGAAACTCCATCTCAAAAAAAAAGGCTAGCCAGGCATGGTGACCTATGCCTATAGTCCCAGCTACTTGGGAGACTGAGGTGGGAGGATAGCTTGAGCCCAGAAATTTGAGCCTACAGTGAGCATGAGTGTACCACCACAGTCTGCAGTCCAGCCTGGACCTCAAGACCCTATCTCAAAAAAAAAAAAAAAAAAAATTAAATGACATAAAGTATTTCTAAATATGAAAAATGAAGTTTGCTCAATCCTAAATCAATAGCAGATGATTCACAAAACTGACAAAAAGCATACACAGCTGGTAATAAGCTAACATCTATCAAATGCTTACATGTTCTCAAGTGCTGAGATTACAGTGACTCTGCAGTAGCTACTGGTATGTAGCCCCATGTTGCAGATGAGGAAACTGGGCACTGAGAATGAGTCATTTGCTAGTGAGTGTCAACCAGGATTCAAACCCAAGTTTAGTAGTATGCTGGGTAAACCAGCTATCAGGGGGGAAAAAATAAGAATTTTTAAAGCCCTGGCATTTTCCAATTTCTATAATATAAATACACTCACCAGGATTGATTTTAAGCTACTAATGGTTTAATAATAGTAAAATTCCTGAATATTTAATAATTGGTTTTCATGAACTTGTAGGAGCTGTCTCCTGCACACCACTGTCAAGTCCATCTCTAGTCAAGTCCACAGTTTACTGTCAGTCACGGAAGATGAGATTTCAGCTCATGGAACAGAACTGGTTTGTGGGCAGCATGCTGAGATGCTAGCCCAGGCTAGTCAGCCATGGCCACACTCCTACCTCAGACCCAGTACAGATCATGGAGGGTGGAGTAGGAGAAGTAGAAAGCAAAGAACACTGTCTCCCTTTCTTCAGGCAAACTTTCCTTCACCAGGGAGTGTAAGGCGGGTCCCTGCCAGCCTAACACGCCTTGGCAGAAATAACAAAACCTGGATTTTCTTCCAGGCCCTACAAATATTTTTCTTGGTTAGATAAGGTCAGACTTGAGACTAAAGGAGCTGATCACTTCCTTTCTGAGATCCTTAATTTCCACAGTATTTCCTTTAAAGAAACAAGGAAGTATTATTACAAGGTGGGAACAGGGTTTGAGCCTGCCTTTAACCAAAGGCAGGGTATTCTGGCCTAATTAAAACCCAATGAAAATACATTTAGGCTCTTGGCTTAGCTTCTTTGTCAACACCTGTAGGACATCACCTGCTAATTAGGTCGTCTGATAAGATGTTCCAGGAGAGGCTCCTGAGAAAGGACTGGCCCTTCAATCAACAAGAATTCACAGGACACCAATTATGCATAGGTATTTGCTCAATGCTAAATATGGAAAGAAAAGGCATAGTTTATGTCGCAGGGCCTCAGAGGCTAATGAAGGAGTCAGTCAGGTAGTTAAATTACATTCATTTGCTGATTCAACAAATGTTTATCAAATGCCCATTAGGTGCCAGGCATTTTGCCAGGCACTGGGATACCACTGTGAGCAAGACCGATTGGTTTGTACTCTCATGGAGCTGACAGTCCAGTCATGAAAAGAGACATTAATTAAATAATCACGAAAGTGAATGTGTAATTCAATGCTGGTAGTAAGAGCTATGAAGAAATGTTAAATGGGCCTGTGAGAACTGGAGGAACATGACTCGGTTTGGGGAAGACAGGAAAAAGGCTTTCATGAGGAACTGAGAGTTGAACTAAGATTTGAAGAAAAACCAGGAGTTAACCAGGGGGGTAGGGTGGAGAGAAGGAGAGGAACACTCCAGAGGGAACAGCATGGGCAAAGGTCCTAGGGTGGGAGGGAATCAGGAAATGGAAGACCAGTTTAGAGGGAGACATGGTAGGAAATGAGGCGAGGGGGAGTAAGGGCTGAACCTCCCAGAATCCTGCAGGCCACAGCAAGGCTTTTGTTGCTGTTCCAGAGCAATGGGAAATCACTGAAGAGTTTAGGGATGGGGATATGGATGGGAATTACACCAATGCATTGCTGCAGTGAAGTAAAGGAAATTCTGTCATGAGAGCACAGCGGAATCAAAGCATCTAAACTGGTATATGTGGTAAAAAGAAAGAGTAGGGAGGTTGGGGTTGGGTGACGTGTCCAAATTAGGCTTGCTCAAGAAGGAACTATCCAGCTAAATTTTTGAAGGGTGAGTGTGACTTAGCCAGACCATGGTGGAAGGGTGGAGGAAAGGAGAGAGAAAGAGAGAGAGAACACTGTTGGCAGAAGGAGAATGTTTGGGCTAAGGCCTGGATATGAGGGTGTAGGCGGACTATAAAAAGATGCCAATAAGAGAAAAAGGGGCCAAATGATGAGAGCCTCGCAGGTCATGGCAGGAGTCTGGGTTTTATCTTGAAAGACAGCGGGAAATCACTGACCCAGTCAAAGATCTCCAGCAGGGG